ATTCTAACTATTTTTCAACGTTGATTTAACATCATGTGCTATCTGGGTATTTTGATCTCCTTTCAGAATAAGCTGTTTTAGGGCCTCTTGTTACTTTAAATCCAAATAAGCTGCAGTTGGCCACGCCCCCCTGCTCAACGTTTACACATTTATCTGTAAAAAGATGCACAATTGAACAACCATACCTCTCTGAAAAGCAGAAGTAGAGCCTCCTGCACAACCAACCAGAATGCAGCAAGTAGCTTCTTGATGGTAAGTCAATAAGAAAACACTTGTCTTTTCCAGCAGCCATTGTACAGCACATACAGTGGTAAAATCAGCTGACCAAATGAGCTGGAGCTCCGGTTAGGTTGCTAGGTGACGAGATGGGCTCAGCTGGGGTTGCTAAGTAACATCACAGTATGTAGGTTTTTTGAAAGGGTTTATTTTTCAGATACCAAAAAAGTAAATAAATACATTTACTGCCAAAAAAGTTAAATGTTTGTTGCTTTTTGAAACACTTGGGATTTTTTATTTTGGAGCTCTTGGAATTCAATGCAAAAACAAAAACGTGTCAATTAGAATTTTTGCATAACCCGCCTGCTTTAAGTTATCCTTTCAGGAGCAAGTCTGACAGTATCGCTGAGAAACAAACTAGTCATCAAGGCATAGATGCTAATAGATTGAGCATCCATGACTTTTTCTGAGGGAGAAAATGAGAGCTGAATGAAGAAATGTTTTTGCTGGTGTGTCTTCATTAAAAAATAAAGAAAAAAAAGAGAGAGTGGCTGATCACCTCTGTAGGAAGATCTCATAGCGCCGCCTGTAAGCGAATCCAGCCCTTCTCACCCTCAGGTTCTCCATCAGTCCCAGATACTTGACCTGGTGACGGATCAGCACCTCGTCAAACCGACCTGTGACAGAGGAGAGAGAGAGAGGCAGAAATGAATCAGCCAGCTGGACAGCATGAAGCAGGGAGAGGAGTACGTAGATGGTAAGCAGCAGCAGTAGGAGTAACAGAGGACAGAGGGACAGTGTGGAAACAACAAAGGGCCAAGTGTGGAGAAAAACAAAGGCAGCCACACAGAACCTCATACTGTCTCCCCTGATGCAGCAGAAATCGGACTGTTTGGGTTGGTACTGGTAAGATCTGCATCATCATGAGGACCAGATCTTCTTCGGTGGCGTTTACAAAATGTCTTAAAACTCTGACACGTCTCATAGTACGATTTCAGTGCCATTAATGTCATTTGACTTCACTAATCTGAATGTTAAATAAAAAATTACATTTCCACCATTTTGGAACAGCACAGTTGTATTATGAAAAAAGATTAACTGTATAGATGCACTGAAAGTTGTTTGGTGACCCGCGAAAAGTAGATCTTTTTGATCTGTGAATGCATAATACCTACGCGATACATCATGCCATATTTTCACAAAAAAACAAGCAACCACAAGCCCCTATAATGGATTACCTTGTACTTTTACATGATAAACGTTTGTCTGTTGAGATCATGCACTTTGCTGCTGCCGCACTTTTTGTTAGCCACATCAAAGGTCTGAAACCTGCGGCTCTTTTGACTTTTCACAGTGACTCTTGGACACATGGATAAAAGTAATGAATAACCTGTTAATATTTCTAAATATAATTATAATTCAGGATGTAAAAGAGTGAAAGAGAGGAAAACTTTCAATGAAATTACCATGGCATGTGGGCAAAATCAAGAGCAGAAAAACTTAGTTTTATCGTTTTAGAACATGCTGAATTTGGAAATGTTGGCAGTCTTCTGGAAATTTTACTTAGGCAGAGCATCTTCATTCGCTACAAATTACACACAAAGGCTTGTATTTTAGTAACTAATTAACTGTAGTTAATGTTAAATTGAAAAATATATCTAATCACTATAAAATTGTTTTAAAAGAGTCAAAAACAGATTTAAAGTTTCTGATCTGTCACCCATCATCATAGTGTCACCTCTGCAGCTAATGTAAGTAATTAATTATTTATATCACTTCACAAAAAGAAAATCTGAGTTGGTGAGACGAGCAGAGTAAGAAAACTGGTCAGAAAATTCTGATTGATGCGTCTCTGAATAAACATCTAAATAGATGTAAAGACAATAATGCGAAGCTTTATTTTTTTTTTTATTTCTACATCCAAAAAATATAGTTCTACTTTCACTTTCAGTGCCACATCTTTAGTTTAAAACCAACTAAAAGGCAACATAAATGCAGTAATTCGTTACATTATACATGAGTAAATAATAAAAAGAAGAAAGGATTAACACCCTACTTGCTTGCTTGGAGTCATTGGGCTTGATGCAGCGGACATACGACGGCTCCTTGGACATGAGGATCTCCATGAGTTTCGCCAGACTGGCTTTGAACTGGGTGGCTGCCTGAAGGGGCAGACACAGACGAACAAAAAAAAAGATTCAAGATCGTTAGGAAGGGATGGACGGGAAGGCGACTGGCAAAAGTTGCCGTTCAGAAGAGCTGGAAACGACAAGGAGTCGAGCAGCAGGTTAGGTTGCGCAGAGGAGGACGATGTTAGCACAGCGATGGTCGATGCGACTGGACACTGGGTTCACTGTGGAGGACTGGGATGACAACTTACCAGCTTGTGACAGTGCCCTGCATCATTATGTGTGTGTGTGTGTATGTGTACGTGTGTGTGCGTGCTGGGCATTCCTCAGTGCGAAGGCAGCTGTGGAGAATCCCCATCAAACAGCCCACTCAGCATCGGAGAGGGAAACACACGGCTGTTTATTGTGCTGTGGGAAACTATGCTGAGAAGCATTCAACCAAAACCAAATCATTCACTCAAAACCAGCAGGGGAACCTCCTGAGAGCACAAACGCAGATGCAGGGTGGAGGACCGCTCACCGTGTCGGGGCGTTTCTTGTCACTCAGCTCGTCTCGGTCAAAACACTGCGTCAGAATCTTGTTCTCAGACAGGCACATAACCTGCAGATGCAAACACATGGACTGACCTCACGCTGTAAAAACAAACAGGAAAATGCTCTGCTCTTTATTCAGTCGGTGTCTAACCTCTTTTAAATTCCTGAAGAGAAGATCGTTGTTTTTGTCCAAAAATCCTAAAGCAAAAAAAAAAAAAGAAAGTTTCAGTCATCTAATCACAAAACAACTGGTACCAGCTTCTCTTCCTACATTTCTAACACTACAGTAGGAGGTCTCATATGTTGATGGATAAAAACTGAACTCATCCTCTAAAGTCTCTAATAATTACAGGGCGTTTTGCTGCAGGAGAAACTGGTATACTTCCTAAAATAAATGGCATCATGACGAAATTCAATTTTGCATAAATATTGGAGCAACATCTTAAGACATCAACCGGGAAGTTAAAGCTCTCGCTCAAATGGGTCTTTCAAGTGGACAATGACCCTAAAAATGCAAAGTGTTTACAAAGAGGCAACGATTTACAGAAACCATCACAAAGTCATTATCCCATTTGGAAAAATAAACACTAGTTCTGTCAGCAGGAATGAGCCTAGAGCAACGTTTTACCCGACTCGTATAGTTCAGAGGCAGAGTTACCAAATAATAAAAAATTATGTTTCAATGTAACTATTTAAACAGAAAAAAGCAATAAATGATTGACTGTACAATTATCTCACGTGTTATTCTGGAATCTGGCAGAAGGAAATAATTTCAGTCATTGTAATGTATCGTTCATAATTTGGGATAATATGAATTGCTATTGTTAATGCAGTTCTATGCATTTTCCAGGCAAATGGAACCATTTTACAGCATCATCTTGTAACGTGTATGTTATCATATTTGTATGATATTACTTCTTCTAAGTTTTATCAAACATAGTTTAGAAGAAATTTGACTTCCCGACTCGACACCCTGAAATTGGCCTTTGTCTCTTTAAGAAACTCCCCCTATAAGATTTGATGAAAATGTAAACACAGTATCTTTATCAAAGAAGGAACCCGTTTATTGTGATAAAATAATCCATTCAGAAAGCACACACACCGTTAACGTTATAGTTGACCTCCCCAGCGTAGTGCAGCAGTCTGAACTCCTCTCGGCCCATCACCTTCCTGGTCTTTCCGTCCGCTAGCTTGTGACTAAAGAGACACACACACAGAGTGAGAGTGAGGATAATCAGCCACATAAATGACTCAAGTTTTCTTGACCAAACTTGGGTTGACTGAGTGTCAGACTGACGTGACGAAGTGCGGGTGTCCCCCCAGGGTGTCCTCCAGCTTCTCCAAGAAGGTGAAGTCGCTGGCATCTCCAGGTCTCAGACACTCCTCATCCTGTGATGAGAGGACAGGGTTAACATCTCAGAGGAGAAAAGCTAAATTTACATTTCTGTTTACTGGATGTTCAGCTCTGTTATTATTATTAATAATAATAATATATTTGTGTGCACTGCATGTTCAGGCTGAAACACAAATTTATACCTGACAGACAAAGCAGAAAACTTTCTGGCATTCTGAGAGACTGATGAGCTTATGATTAATTAATAATGTATGGTGAAAGCTAAATAATTTATAATAATAATAATATATTTTTTTACATTTAAATCTTTAATGTGTAATAAGAATTCAAATCCCAAGTGTTTTGGGGATTTCTTTACAATTGAAATACATTTCTTTGAGTTGGGTAAATCAACTTAAAGAAAAAGACAAAAAAAAAATACATTTTGCATTCATAAAACATCTTAATCAAAATTATGATTTAAATTAGTCACAACTGCAATGACAAAATATAAAGAATTTCAAATTCCTACCTGCTAAATGGAGCTTTCAAATCTTAAATCTGCCAATGTACTTAAAAAATCTCAACTGTGCTTACCATAAAATGACTAAATAATGCAAAATGATCATTTGTGCTCTATTACATACTTATTTGTTGAAAAGATTTTATGTTGGCAAATAATGACAGAAAACTAAGTGCTTAATGTTGCCAATTCCCACCATGTAAAACACAGAGTGGAGCATGAGGTCTTTTTCATTTGTTGAGATAAAAGCTTCAAACTTGCAGTGTCTGAACCAATGGAAAGGCGAAGTTTAAACGAGGTGTTTGGGTGCAGCGCCTCACCAGGATGGAGATGATGCCTTTGAACTTCTCCTCCACCAGGTCACAGATTATCTTGTTGTTGAAATACTGGACCGGCTCCCACTGCAAACACACAAATCATTATGTGAGGGCAGCAAAAGCTAACCGATTGTTGGAAAGGTCATGGGGGCCAAAACGCGAACGCCGATATAAAACTGGAGCTCCTCTAAAGAGGAGCAGCTGAAACAGCTGGGAGCTGCTTTTCACAGTTCACAGTTTTAAAGATTCAGAGAATGCCAGGAATCCTGGCACACAGACACACCCTGCACCTACATATATGTGAAACACACACACACACACACTCAGAAATGTTCCACAGGCACCGTTAGCTCATGTTAGCTTCGAGAGTTGCATCTTTTCCACAGAGAGCCACCCACGTCTGTCATGACGCATCATAATGGGCTCTTTGAGAGGCAAAGCCAAGATTCTCCCACAACTTGTTTGCTCTCGACACATTTACATTAGACTGAAACCAAGAGCTCTTTGTTCTGACCGGGCAAAACAACACAACAAAAAGGCAGAAACAGCGAAGGACAGAAGAGGAGAGAAAGAAAAAGGAGAAACATCACTGGGATCGTCTTTCGTTACAGGACTGTTCTGATATGAAATCTCCTCAGGAGGTTTTACCTGAGAACGAATTACCAAGCAGTCCAGCATGTGGGGATTCAATTATTCATGGGGCGGTTTCTTTCTAAAAATATATGCACTCAATACAGATGGATCCCATTAGGAGAACGCTGCAAAGTTCAAACCCAGACTGAGAAAAGTTAACAGTGACGATAGAAGGGGATCAGCACTTTCCTACTGGAAATATCACACAGACCAATTCCTCAGATCAATGTAGCGAGTCACATTGTCACATGATTCTGAGGAGATTGGCGTGAACAGTGTGTGTGTAAGTGTACGGAGGCAGAGAAGCTACTGACCGTGATGCCTTCAGCTTCGTACTCCTCCTGCTCTGACTTCAGGGTGAGCTCGATGAACAGCTGCTGCAGCTTCTCGTTGCAGTAGTTGATGCAAAACTGCTCAAAGCTGCAGAACAGAGAAAATCAGGAGGATCCAATGATCAGTTTGAGAAAAACGTAACAAGAACATCAATATGTCGGACAGTTTTCGGTTTCATTTTTTAGAAATGTTTAAGGACCAGAGACACTTGCTGCATGAAGGGAAATCACCCAGGACTAGAAAGGTTTCCCACATTTTGTCACATTATAACCATAAACACTACCAAGGAACTGGGGCTGAAATAATCATGACTATTGAAATAATCGTCATCTAATTTAATAATTAGTTAACCTTTAACAAAAGTATAAATTCTCAGAAAAAGGCCAATTTCTGAAACAACAACATATTTAGAGCAGAAATGAAGCCCAAACTGTGCAAACTATACAGTTTGCATTTAAAATAAAGAACATTCTTTATTTGTAAATCTGTTCCACCTGAAACTCCTCAAGTGGTGTAGTTTTAGCTTCACCTGGTTCAATTTCTGTAAAAAAAAATTTAGGACCTTTTGGATATTCAATTATTCATAATTTATTTTTTTATAAATTGCTCCTACACTGTATTAACATCAAGTTAATCAAAAAGGGCTGAGCTTTTCACAAGCAGATGTTAAAAGTAATTTTCTTTAGCTGCAGATGCAACGAAATGTTTAATTGTGTAATTAAATAGAAACTGAATTATTTCTGTATTTGGATCTTTATGCACTTATAACATTGTTTAAAATAAGCTTGAATGGTTAAATGAAAAATATGCAAAATGAGCCACAATTTTTTAATCTTATTAATCAATTAATTGTCAAAATTGATGGAAAGATGAGTGTAGCTAAATATAGAAGAATCCTGAAATAAAACCTGTTAGAAACTGCTCAGGTACCAACAGGACAAAAGCCTAAATTTATTCATAGTGGTGGCAGCATTACTCTACTTTCAAATGTAAAATTGAGCACAAATTTGTGTTTGTTTCTCACAACAAACCCCAACAAAATACCTTTTATCTTGTGGTTATAAGTTGATGAAAATATTAACACTTTTCCAAGGAATCAAACTTGTTACAGTGGAGTGAAAAAGTGTTTGCCCTCTTCCTGATTTCCTTTCTTTAATGTTTGAGAGCATCAGACATTAATAATAATAATAAAAAAAAGAAACCAGGAAAACATTATTTTACGAGCAGCTTTTAGCAAACTCATTCTGAAGGTATAAATTTAAAAGGGCAGGATAAAAAAAAAAAAAAAAAAAAAAACACGTGAAACTATCTTCACCTGTTGTGCTGGAAAACCTCAAAGCCGTAGATATCCAACAGACCGATAACAGAGGCGTTCTTATGAGATTCATCCTGTTGGAGAGACAGAGAAAAAAAATTATATTTGGCACCAAAAACCCAGAGAACATCCATGTAACTAATATTGTATTATTATCAATGAGAGTCATGCATAGTAGGGAAGTTAAGCTGGTTATTTACATGTATTTGAGTAACTTTTTGGAAAAACTTACAATTTTAGGAAAATTTTCACTATGTTGCACTTCCTACTTTTACTTGACTAATTTTATTGTGAAGTATCGCTGCTCTTAATTGAGTAAAAATGTTGGCTACTCTCCTCACTGTTAGTAACTTCAGTGAATGAAGAACAAGATTGTTTTAAAAAAAAAATTGCCAGACACACCTGCAGTTGCAGGTAAAAGTTTCATACGTTTTATATTATATTTTGCACGATTTTATTTTGTAATTGCATTAATTTCCAAGATTTCTAGATACATTTATATTTTGGTCCAACTCATGATGTAACTTTTAAATATTAAATGACTGATGTTTTGGTCAGCACTTGAGAAACCTTTTTTGCAAAAATACTTTTTTACCTTCTTACTTGAGTAATGTCCAGAACAGGAACAGGTTTAAGTAGCGCTGCTTTTCCTTATCTATAGTTCTGCGGCTCTCACCCACCTCTGGATTTAAGTAAATCTGGCTATAGATGATAATCAAAAACCAGTCCTTTATCTATAGATCATATTTAAGCTGTGGCCACAAGGTGGCGCCATCTAGCTGCAGAATAAAGACGATCCTTGCAGCAGGGTTTGGTCAGTGAGTTTATACCTTGTATGTCAGTGAGGTGTTGATTTTGTTGACCAGCCAGGTGAAGGTGCGTCCGTACACGGCCTTGGACAGAGCATCCCGAGCCGACGACGCCTGCTCCAGGTTCAGAGGGCTCACAAGCTGCGCACACACACACACACACACACACGCAGTGTGACAGAGTAACTCAAAGCTGAGCTGGGACACTTACACAAGTTATCATTTCTAACCACAGCAGACATTACACAGACAGGAAAGCTTTGTATACATGTGCTCATCACACAGTGAGAGTGTGTATCCAAACCTACCTCCTCTCCCTTGGCAATTATCTTCTTATGTGTGAGTGCCTCTGTCAGCACCGTCCCATTCACCCCCAACAACTGGAAAAGCACAGCAACATTAGCACACACACACACACCAGCAGTAAAACCAGTGACAAATCCACCTCTTCCAGAAAACAGACAGACGTCACACCAGTCTGCGGCCAGAGAGGTTTCTCTGCCGCCTGCTTATTATGTCTGTGGTTGGTGGGGACAGCAAAACAGAGGTGAAAATGAACCGAGGGACAGAGACAATCTGTTTTGTGTCTGTAGATTCACATTTGGAGTCGACAGAAAAATAGAGGAAATAACTTGTCAGCACTGGCAGAGGCACAAACTCTGACATAAAATAGATAAAATGAGTATATGGTTGTTGTAAAAGAAAATACATGAAGTTATCACGTATTTTCAGCACATAGTTCCATTTGGTGGCAAGATAAAGTAACTATGCAACCTTGGGTTTTTATAAGAATGCTGCACATATCAGGCATAACTTAAAAGACAATTGACTCCTATAAACTGTCCTCTGTCTCTTTAAGATGCTGCTACTATTCCAACACTCCAGCACATCATCACAGCAATGCTTCTCATTATGCCGTTTATGACCGTTCGTAGGAGCATTGGACTGAGAAACTTTTTGCATGATCAGCTCATCAGATGTGCAGCTCCACCAGGTGTTTGGCTAATTGCTGCTGCCACTAGTCGGGAGGAGCTGAAGGGGAAGGAGCCTATGAAAGGTGCTCAAGTTGTTAATATCGGCCCAGGTTTACTAATGGGACAGATATCATTAAAAAAAAAAAAACTAGCCTTAGGGCATTATCTTTCAGCAAACTGCTACAAACATCCAGTCAATAATGACATTTTATTTTATTTACTTTCTGAGCATAAGAGCCTAAACCTAACTGACTAAAAGAACCTGCAATCATTCAGAAAAATAGTGCAGCTTCAAAAGTTTAGTTGGTTGACTAGAAATCGTATTCAACTAAATAATTTTGAAATTGTAAATAAATAAAAAACTCTAAATATATACAGTTCTGGAAAAAATTAAGAGCCCAATGCACTTGATGGCGGTTATTCCACCAAATATTGATTTCTGAACTGAACTGTATGTATTAATTTAAGATTATTTGTTGAAACCTCTGACACTGGATTTAATTCTGAAAAACAGCCTGCATCATTGAACCTAAAGTAAAATTTAAAACTTTGATATCAGAAAAATGTCGACCTCTCTTTAAAAGAGCAGTGACAATCCTGTCAGTGTGTTTGATAATAAATCTAAACTGCGGTTTCTATAACCTCGCCGTCTCTGAAACCAGTCTGGGTCATAATCTGCATGACATCTTATTGTACCTGCTTTCGTTTCATTTCCTCATAAGAATTTTATACACTTATTAAAGCCTTATTGTTTGATCTGGAATGCTCATGAACCGGCTCGGCGTAATCTTACCCTGGCCAGGTACTTGATCTGCGTATCCGACGTAATGTGGGCGTAGCCTTCTTCCTCGCCGTATTGCACGTTGCCGAGGTGAAGCACACTGGCGATTATGTTCAGCAGCTCCTGCACAGAATAATAAAAGAAAAACATTAAGGATGATGCAGTGAAAAAGATGAGCTGCTGGAGGACACGAAGGGAACAAAGGTGAGAAGATCAGAGACGGCGGCGCGGTAAGATCGGAGCTATCTTTACAAGCGGCTCAACTGATAAGCCCCGCTTTGATTAAAAACCGGACAAAGATCGGAGCGTCCCGGGAATGTAGCAACCCACACACACTCACACCTGCTGCTCTCTCTGAGCAGTGGGAGCTCCAAAGGAGCTTTGGGAGCAAGCCCAGACTCACAAATGTGGAGGAAGACTCCCACGCCGAGCAAAAGTGACTTATGACTACATAACAGCTACACGCCGTTCTGTCATCCTTAGAGAGACGAAAATGGCCTCAGGAACACCGAGAGCTCCACCTAAGTTAACATAATGGTTAAAAGTTATCACAGGTTAATATTTTTTTCTCTATTGCTTCCAATATCTTTATTTAAAACATAAAAACTGTGGACTGAAAAATGTGACATATATCAGTCGAATTTAATTCATTAATTTTAAGAAAATGGTTCTGATTTCTGCATTCATGTCATTTAAAGTACTGAACTGTATGAGATTTAGAAAAGTCCAAATAAGTGTCATTAAACACCAAAATCAACTTGTTTTGTTGCTGATAAATTGTCTATATCTTATTTAGGGTTCTGTCACTCTGTGCAATTTGGTGTTCATTTGTTTAGGTCTGCATTAATTTGCCTAAAACCGTCTCAGGGCTGACATCATTACGATGAATCGTGCCTAAGCTGTCAAGTTCTCCGATTTGTTTAAAACGGATCGGTTTTTCATCACACAGCACGACACACAGCCCTGGTGGCAAGTCAGGAGTTAGATTAGTGAACTGTTATCAGTAGCGTTTCCCAGCGTGTGTGACTGATTTGCAAAGTGGACACAGAGCTGGACGGGTCTCCTCCACTCAGACTAAAGTCTGCAAGCTGCAGGACGGACACCGATGTAAGACAGTACTTATGAAGCAGGAGAGGCTCACGGCAGAACTCTGTAATCACACAGAACAGAGCGCAGCGGTAGAACTGCTTTCATTTCGCCATAAAACTTTCCAATAATGGAAAGAAGTTGCTAGATTTGTAACGCTTATTTAATAGAAAGTTGTTAGCGGGACTGAGAAGTCGCTAAGCATTGTGACACACTGGATAAGTAAGGACACAGCACAACAAAATGTGGTGACTGAAAATAAAAGTAACTAGATCATCAGAATAAACAGCAACTTTAAGTTTAAACCTCCTGAGTTTATGTTGTTCTGATCTCAATTCAGCAGTAGTTAAAAGAAACAGCTGGTTCAGACTCCTTCACAGGACACCAACTCTACCCACAGTCAAAACGCAAATAAATGAGGAAGAGGCGAAATAAAGGGTAACTGGAACGTCTTTCAGTTCCTGGATTTCTTGTTTTGAGACAAGATATGATTTGGTCCTTAACACAAATGAATGCAAAGCAAATACAACCTCAAAAACTACAACACATAACATAAAACACACAAACACGCAATAGCTAAGCATTTCGGCTGAGCTTCTGTTATTATGTCATAAATTGTGGCTGACTTAAGGTTGCATAGCCTTAAATTTAATACCCATTAAGAACCAGATTGTAGTTTGTGTCGTGATGCATAAAAACCAAAAGCTAAAAAGTCTCTGACTTTGTTCTCACCATAATTACATTGTTTGTTTCTTACCTCCACTTCATCGTCACTGAAGCCAATGACATTCAGGGCTTTTCTCACCACCTTCCAGTCGCTGCGGTCGTTGATGGAGCTCACTTTGGGACAGTTGCCCTGTGGGACGTGTAGGACGAGTTAAGCTCAAATTTGGAAACCAAGTGAAGCAGAGTTTAGACTTTGTCAACCATGAGAGGCAGATTTTCACAGAGCAGGTGATGCACAAACAGCTGTTTACAGCTAAACACCTTTGTGTATGCAATATAAACACCTACTTAGACAAACACAGGTGGAAGCTGCTTTGGTTTGGAAGGTGATGGAGAGAGTTTGTGTGAAAAGGAGAGTTCAGCAAGTCCCCTAAGGAAGATCTGTCCTCTGAGGAAAGCCCTTACACTGCTCTGAGCATTGCTCGCTCTGAGCCCATTAACTTGGCCGTCCACTGGGACGCAGAGGCAGGCGTTCGGGACGGACCAAAAGCTTCAGGCAGGTTGGACCAAACAGGGCACTGAAGGACATTTTGCTCTACTGGCTAAAGCCGTTTCAAAGAAAGGTAAAACCTCCAAAAAGTGTCATTACCCATTTAACTTTTTCACTTTTTGTCAGGTTATAATAACAAATTTACATGTATTTCATAGGAATTAATGTGACAAAGTAATGCATAATTGTAAAATAGTATGTGCTAGTCTGTATGACCCAGTATGTAGCAGAACCATTTCCGTCTGCAAGTTGAGTCAAGTTTATTTTTAAAGCTCATTTCAACAACAAAGCAGTTCCAAGTGCTTTACACCTTAAAAACATAAAACTTTAACCAATTATGAAATAAGCAATAAAGATTGCATTTTCTCAAATCATCTGGAATAAACGATACATTGATCAACAATCTACTTATTATGAATCAAAGGCAAGTTAAATAGATGGCTTTTTAGCCTTGATTTAAAGGAACTCGGTGTTCTGGCTGTTTTGCAGTTTTCTAGAAGTTTTTTCCAGATTAGTGGAGGATAGAAGCTGAATGCTGCTTCTCCATGTTTGGTTCTGGTTCTGGGGACACAGAGCAGAACCAGAACCAGAAGGTCTGAGAGGTCAGGAAGGCTGTTACAACAACAACAACAACAACCACAACAACAACAACAAGCCTTTCAGTGATTTACAAATACACATTTTTAAAATCTATTTTCTCTGACCTACAGGGACTTTAGTGTTTTGGAAAATGTCTTTACCCACATTGTGCTTCTAAGCTAAGAATTATTGCCCATTTTTATTTGCTCAGTCTCAATTTAACTTAAGTTTGGACTTTGACTAGGCTCTCCTAACCAGGGTTTGTGTTCTACTAGCATGTAACCTCAGTTTTAAGTCTTTTAAAGCCTCCAGCTGGTTTTGCTTTGTTTGTTTTTGCCTCCATTCATCTTTCCATTAACTCCCTGATGAAGAAAACCATCAAGCTGCCACCATACTGTTGGCAGTGAGTGGAGGAACATCGACGTGTTTGTCCCTCACCTTAACCAGGTACTGATACTGCTGGGTGTTCCTCTCCAGGCCAAGCCGTCGCAGCAGGTCTTCTTCGCCTCCTTCGATCATCTGATAGAAAATGTGGAAGTTTCTCTCCCCATGGTTCTGGTGGACCACCCGGGACTTCTCCAGCAGGTAGTTGATGATGTGGCCGCCGACCGGAGCCCCCTGTCGACGGGAGAGAGGCCAGGGACGGCGGTGGGAGGAAGATGAGGAGAAGGAGGATTGGGTAAGGCTGGGGTACTGAGGTGTAGTAAAACATGCAGGTTCCAGAGGGATTTTGTCATCCATTAAACATATAGTGCACTCATAAAAAAGGGGAGGTGTGGATTAGATGTATTATAACTTCTTAATCCTCGACATATTTTCAATTTCTTTATAAACTTCTTTGGATTTTGGAGACTTTTGCCTGCTTGTTGCTCACCTTAAAGTCAAACTGAACGTCCATGTACTTGCCAAAGCGGCTGGAGTTGTCGTTACGCAACGTCTTGGCATTCCCAAAGGCCTGGCAGGGAGAAAGACACAGCAAATAAGGAAAAGTGAAAGAGGAGAGGAATGGTAAGTGATGGATTATGGAATAGAGATAACAAGACGGTGCAGATGAAGGAATGTGATAAAGATAGGAGGAGAATAAAGAAAAAAGGTGAGAGTGAAAAAGGAATGAAGGACAAAGCTTGTTAAGAAATCTACTAGTAGAGATGACTCTTTCAGCGCTTTGTTCTATAAAAGTAGAATAAAACACAGATACCTCCAGCACTGGGTTGGACTGCAACAAACGGTCTTTCACGGTCTGCACTTGTTCGCTGGCTGGACAGGTGACGGCGTAGTACTGCAGGATCTTTTTGGACGCTTCCGTCTTCCCGGCGCCGCTCTCCCCTGAGATCAGTATGCACTGGTCCTTCCGCTCCGTCCTCATGGAGCGGTATGCATTGTCTGACACCGCATAGCTGCAGGAGGGGAAGAAGGCAAGAGTATCAGAAGACTTGATGTCTTAAGGGAAGAGGAAGATGAGTTTGGGTGCTTAGTCTGAATTAATCAAACTCTAGTTCATTTGCCTAGAAGGTTTGATCTGTTTGGAGACGTGCGAATGCACGATTGAACTCTGATGCAGAGCAAAGAAGTAAAGTCTCATTTTAGTAGATGTCAACTGGACTATACTCTGGGAATTCTGGGTAAATACAACAAAAACAACCATGAGGGTCTAGTACTAGCAGGAGAAATGGCAGATTATCTTTT